ATATTTGCAATATCCTTTATTCAAAAAAAGGAAAAAATTATAAATACTATTTACTCATTACAATAGTTAATAAATATTAATACATTTTGGAACGTTTAAATGGAATTGATCAAAATTTGGCCTGAAAATGAAAGTTGGTCCATTAATTAAATGATACATTTGAAATGTTTACCAAACAAAGCTATAAATAACAATTGCTTATTATAAGTTAATAATGTATTTATTAATGTCAATACACTTTGGAACGGTTTAAACGGAATTAATCAAAATTTGCCTTGAAAATGAAAGTTGGTCCATTGATTAAAATGTCAAATAACGTATTTGCAACGTTTATCCAAAAAAAAAAAATTATAAATACCGGTATATTTTGAAACGTTTAAAATGAAAATTGATGAAAACTGAAGGCGTGTTTTCGACTGACCGAAGTAAGAAAATGGTGAGCGTGAGAACGAAAGGGGTTAAAAATCGATTGCAGCGTGTCTTATACATAGGAGAGGCAGCGTTTCGCTTCTGACTGTGATCCGTCAACCGGAAACGACGCAATTTACATGAGGAATCGGAGCAAAGCGTCTAAAATGTAAGTAGCTAAGCCACAAACGTATGTAATTCCTTCCTCATACTGTGCACAAGTATATCGATAGATCGATATACCAACCGGCATATTTTCTCCAAGATCAATTCTAAATAAATTTAGAATAAATGTAGAAATAAATATTGAAATCAAATTATGCACGAATTAAAATCGTTGAATCGTAATAAAAGATTCAAACAATACATACCGTAATATCGTGTATGAAGACAATAATACCACATTATTGTGTTGTTTATGGAAGCGTATACGAAAGAGATGCATTTTTTTTTTTTTTAAATAAAATAGCAAGGGTGAGACGAGGACGAAGAAAAGGGATAGATTCTCATTAAACGGTGGAATTTATATTGAAAAATTCTGGTAAAAAAACAAAAAAAAAAAAAAAGAAAAGAAAAAAAACGAAAATAGCTTTTGACATAGATGAAAAGATAGTTCACGTTGTGGCAACGAGAAAAATATGATTATATCGATAAATCAATATAGAGGGCCCGATATATATCTCATTCTTTCCATCGTATCGATATCAATATCCCTATTCCACCATCTTCGAAACTCTGCAAGTATAAAATATTAGTTACTTAGAAATTATATACATCGTATATACGAAATATACGTAGATGACATCCATCTACGATTTTAAGATTTTTAAATTAATTACAATTTTAACTTCGAAATATTATTTTAAAATATATATATATATATATACATATCGTGAAAATTATTCCACATTACGAATATTGACGATTCGTATTTTTTTTCGTGAGTTTAAACTTGGAAAACGTAGGAGAGTAAAAGCTGCTGAGGGTATAAATTTAGCATTTGAGGAATCTTATGTAAATGTTAGGATAGATTCAACTTTTTCCCCTTTCTCTCCCTTTCTCTCCATATACATAGATAGAGTTCAAAACTGATGATCTGTCACTGAAGAATAAACCAAGAAGAAGATTAAAAAGTTCCATAAAAAAAATGTATATATATACTGAAAATGATTTAAGTCAAACATTTATCATTATCGTGATAGGATAATTCAAATAAAATTATAATACGTCAACGAACAATTTTGCAAATTATATAATATTCTCACACGCACATTCCTGTCCTTGTTCATCCAATTGAGCAAATATTTCGTGTATTATCCCTCTCAACCATACCAACCCTCTCAATCTGTCTCTGATCTATTTTCCAAGTTTCGGATCCGTCCTGTTCCACCGTTTTGTGTGTACATTTGTGAAAGAGGGAAAGTACATTTGCACAGGTGGTTACAAAACTGATGATTTACACAGTAGATTAAAAGCGGGCCGGGAGAATTTTCTTCAATCCTTCCTTCCGTGCTATCTTCTATT